GGAGCATCAACTTGAGCGACCCGAACTTCGAATTCAAGCCCTACACCATCGGCACGGAAGTGAATGGCGTGAAGTTCTCGACGCTTGACGGCCACGCGCTGGGAGACTTTAATGGCTGCACCCCGTCGTCGCAGCGGAGAGCGCAACATAAAAAAAGGAGGGCCTCCCATTATTCAGCGTAGTATTTGTGGTCCACTCTTCATTTCAACTTAGTCTACGAAATCTTAATGATAACACCCTTGCTTGCGAAGCATTCATTTGTTGTGTGTAAATGGACGGAAATTTGAACTGAAGTTGTCGGGCATCTCGGCGATTCCGGAATGGCTTTGACGGCTCTTTGTTTCCGCTGTGAAAAATCAGCGAACATCACTGTATCGTTCTCGTTCTTCTCACTCACCCAACGAAAATTCTCAAAGCCGTGCATCTCCGCGGCGAAGAACGTGCGCCCGCAAGTGGCGCAGGCACGCACCAAATCTTGGCCCGCCTGAGGCTAGAACCAGGAAGTCCTTCATTTGTGCGGCCTTCGAAGGGACGCAGCTCAAAGAGAAATTTACTCCCTTCCCCTTCTTGCGAGTGCCTTCAGGAGCTCCAGCACCTCAGGAAGAGCGCCGAATCGCAACTGTAACTGAGGCTAGAAGATGAAGAAGACGCATCTCCTGCTCGCTAGCCGCGGATTCCCTGTGTTCTAACGTCACTGAGTTGCGGTAAAATTGCCATGGATTGCGGCGGTAAACCGTAATACCAACTGGTCAGCAAACTGTAAGCAAATTGAGAATGTACGCGAAGCTTGAACCTCGAAGGTCGGCTCTGAGTCTCAGCTTGGATTGAGGATTGTTGCTCCTATAAATCCCTGTATCTAACATTATATATACCCCTACTTTGCACAGATCTAATAATTATCCAACCGTCCTAATATCACCACTGTGTCGGGTCACGCCTCAGCAAACCGTCTCAAAACCACAAAAATGAAATACACGCACCGGGTGACACTCCCCCCCATCCCACTGCCACACCCTCGCCGGGTCCCACAATATCATCTTCGCCAAATGCACCCCATTCCCATTCTCCACCCTCTCAATCCACCACTTCACCGCCCAGTGCCTTGTCACGTATTTCCAGTACACGTACCAGTCCCACGAATAGCTGTTGATCACCCGTGGGTTCGCGTAGATTTTGTCCAGCGCGAACTGGCGCCGGAGGTCGTACGGGAGGAGGAAGGACTCGGACGAGAAGCACTCGTCGGGGGCGGAGGCGCGGAAGCGCACGGGCGGGGTGAGCGCGGGGGTGAGGTTGGCGGGTTGGGGGTAGGCGGGGTGGGTGGAGGCGAGAGGGCGCGCCAGGGGCGAGGTGGAGAGCTGCCCGGTGCGCAGGGCGGGGGGGAGGAAGGGGTCGGCGCGTACGGCGATGATGCCGTTCCAGCAGGTGAAGACGGGGGCGGGCTCGTCGACCATGACGGCGCGAAAACCGGTGTCTTCGAGGAAATACGGCCAGAGTGTGGATGCGATGCGGCCGAGGCGATCGCGCACTACCCACCTATGGCAGGAATGAATTCGAGAGGAATCAACGCGAAGAAAAAGAGCCCTTACTGGTCGTATAATCTAAGCACAAGAGGCAGACAAATAGTCAAGTTCGGTTTGTTGGTAAAGCGAGATCTACATACCCCCAAGAGGCGAGGTCCAGCCCACACGCCATATCGTAGTCGCCGCCCTTGGTGTCCAGCAACTCAACAATCGACTCAGCTTCAATGAAGACGTCGTTGCTAAACAACACGCGGGTGTACCCGCCGTGCTGCACAAGGGGTTCCATCACGAGATTCCGCACAGCGGCAAGGAAAATGATGCGCGGGGGAGCCGTGTCCATCGACGGTGGGCGTTCGATCGACGTATCGTGAGTTAGAATGCGGCGCTTCACCTCCATTGTCTCGAGCATTCTGTTGAACTCTTCAAGCAGGTCAGCTGTGTTGTCCCAGCTGTTCGACTCGACGATGGAGACGAAGACATTTTCCTGTCAACGGAAATCAGCGCACGTCCACACAGCAGAGAGGATGAACGAACGGGACCAAGGTAGTAAATTAGTTTTGTGACCTCTTTGATCCAGTAAGGAAGAACACCGCCGTTGTTATAAAACATGGCGGCGATAAATACTTTTTCTAAACCCCATGTCAGATGCTATTTGATCGAGATCATCGAAGAACGTACCTCCAGTTCCATACCCTTCAGGTTTGGGCACGCGATTAGCAAGCTCGACAGTTTTCTTGAAACGATGGTCGATAGGAAGTTCGTATGTGCGGAGCATGTACACGCCAAACAGCGCAGCGGACAGATACGTGCCCCAAGTAATAAAGTAGCCAGCTCTTTGTGCGAGCTTGGTCCCAATAGATTGACCAGAATCTCGTCCCTTCCGATACGGTCCGTTTCTAGGGGCCTCTGGAGACTCCAGATCATCCAGATCCACAGCAAGCACCTCATACCGCTGCTGGCGCGCCAGCCGGGGCACCCGGTTCCGCACCAGGGTCGACAGTCGGAGCAGGATAGGCCAGAGCAGCATCAGAACCGCCATACAAGCGCCCCAAATAGGAACTGCTGCCAAAGTGATAACGAAGACAGTGCGCGAGACGGGAAAGGCCGGTGCCCATGCGCCACCGAGCTTGGAGAGCCAGAATTGATGACATTTCTGCCAGACGGTGTAGAAGACAGTCAGGGAGACTACCGGATGGATGAAGCGGAGAATAATCCGGGCGCAAAAGAGAAAGATCCAGGCGGCGAGCTGGAAAATTAAGACCAAGGGCCGGGGTATAGGCCGCCGGGACATGGTATACCGCGCGTGTTGAATGAGCTCCCCCGCACGATAGGCCATCGCCTGCAAAGTATGTGCGGCATGAGCCCCATAGGAGCTGCGCATCGAGGGAAGAGGCAGAAAATGGCCGTGTCTTGGCTGTGTAATGCCGGCATCCCGCACCACTGTCCAATCCCGCTGCATCACGTGGATCATTATCGCGTCCCCATCACGTACACACGCACAAGCAGAGGTCATATCGATTCACATCAAGTGATTTTCTCCGTTTCTGGGGTCGCATGATGCAGGAGCCAGAGAAAAAAAGTGAGTATCACCCCGGCGGGATTCGAACTTGCGATTTTCAGCCGTGAACCGCTGACATCGTACCATTAGACCTAGTCTTGTGTTTACCGCGGGGGTTGGATCGTAGTGCAGCCTTATTATGTAATCTTATGTCAGCTTTCTCCGATTCTCTTCCCTCGACACCAAGGCATTCAAATTCAATGAAAATTTGCAGTAGCATTTATTATCATCTATCTAGCCTTCTATCTCCTTAGAAATTTTTGAAAAGGTGTAGAACCTGTTCTGCTGAACACCTGGTTCAACCATGTGACTAACAAGACAACATTTCGACGGAGCACAAACCGATGAAATCTTGAAAGTTTATTTGAGGGAAAAATCAAGGTAGGTCAAAGTGGGTTGGATGGTTCTTGCTGCACAAAACACGCAGTTTTCAGGAAATAAAAATGTCGTGGAGGCAGGAATCGAACCCGCGCGCATGTCAGATTACCTAATAAGGCTGCACTACGATCCGACCCCCGCGGTAAGCAACAGACTCTATACAGCGAGCTTGGTCCGTATAGAGTGTCTGTCTACGAGAGACTATATCGACTAGGGTCGATATCAGTTCTAACTTCTGTCCAAACATCACATTATGCCATGGACAACTTTGAAAAACATGACAGTACCATCCGCACAACCAGATACGCCATGGTAGGTAGGTCCCGAAGATCTGGGAATTGAACCCGCACCCAGTGGATTGATCCCAACATCAGGTCTGCTTAGGCTGGCATGGTTCATACCATTGGACTACGGACCTGAGGAAGGGCGAGGGAATTCTTGTTCAAACTCCCACCCTCTATAGACTTCGAGGGAGGCAACATCCGGGCAGTCCTTCCCTCCTACAACTGTCTTTGCATTTCTTCCGGCACGGTTCCAGTTCCAATCACGGAAATCTTGCAATTAATTGGATTCTGGTGATCATTCCTGAGGACTTTTGCCCCGGCTGTAGGCTCCAAGTGTAATAGCTTATAGACGCACATCGGTCCCGCAGTACTTTGCTTCTCGTCTTCTCGTCTTACGAGTGCCTTCAGCACCCCAGGAAGACCATCCTGTAACGTTAAATGCGGCTAGAAGGTAAAGAAGCTGCATCTCCTACTTGAGAAGTACAGTATGTATAGTGTGTTCTTCAGGTGGGTTCTGTCTTTAATGCCTATTGCAGGACGAAGTGACTAGGAGTTGAGTAGAGGTGCAATTGAAAGAGATAAAATCCACTGGATCAATGCATGTAGGGTGTGCTGGCTTTCACTTACCATCGCATTCTCAGCGCAGGCGAACACGAAATATTCATCTCTACACACATGAACGGCAATAACTACTGTAAGGCACAAGTGTTGATCTATAAACTGCAGTCCAGGCCATTCACCATCGCAACTCTACTTACTAGAATGCCAGGCTCTGATTATGCGCTAGAACCAAATGCTTCCCAGATTTCAACTTCGTCTTCTAGTGGATGACTTGCGGTAAATTGGCTGTTACTCCACAAATCGAAATGAATGATACATTCAGGTTGATCTGAGAGCTTTCCGACACAATCTAGATGCTGACGGAAAGTCAATGGATACCTTGAAGGTCCTGGTCCTTGATATGCGGCAGGATGACACGGAATTTCAAACTTTCCCCGAAATAAGCACCGAGTCAGAATTTAACAGAAGCAGCTGTTTGGGCGATTTCTCCGTCTCGTGGACCGGAAGTGGGATAGTCCATTCAAATCCGCCAAGGTCGAAATTGAACCAAATGCGGTGCAACACGTGATTTATTGACGTGTCTCCATCAGGCACATACATACAAACAGCTGCCATGAGTCAAGTTGATCATGTTCTCCACGTCTATCAAGTCATTTCTGCTGCCCGAATGATGCAGAAGTCAGGCAAAAAGAGAGGGTATCACACCGGCAAGATTCGAACTCGCAGCCTCCAGCCAGCCTTTTTAGTTCAGAGAATACTGGTGTCGTAGCCCATTAGACCACGGTGCGATATCTGTTTTCGTTGAACACCGCATATGCCACGGACAAAAAGACGGCCGTTACATTTGAATACATCTTCGTGGATACCAGCTGTTCCTCGCATTCAGACTCGAGAAGCTAAAATCGAACTTTTCAACCCGGCATTCCTTCGACGCGTCGCGAGGAAGCAAAGCGCGCCGATAGATTCTACAAAACTGTATCCAAGATCGCTCCGGCGGGAATTGAACCCGCAATCTCCAGCGAATCTCAAAACGTGGATTGCCGGCGTCGTACCGTTGGACTACGGGACTGGGGAAGTGGACCGGAGAGGTGTGGGCTTAAGCTTCAAGTTGAAGCCTCAACGAATGCCCAGCGAAATCTTATCATCACCTTCTCTTCGCGGTGCACAATGCAGCCGGAATGCGATTCGGATGCGTGTGAGCAGTGCCCTCAAAGTCAAAGGTCAGCTGGCGCGGGCGCCGTCTGTGGATGCGTGGAGCAAATACCTCTGTTTGGGATGCAGAGATAAGACTGCTGCGGAGTGCGGTGCTCCATGACTTCCAAGAATCTCTTGGAGCTCGTTGTCAGTGAGTATTCGAGCTCCTATTTCGGGGAGCATTCATTTTAATTTAATTCCTGTGCGCCGACGGTCTAGGAATTTTATTGGGGTTGCGACGGTTGCGACGTTGGAGGTAAGATGCGTGAACGGCGACCAAGGAAATTATTCATTTCCTCTCGGCCTCGTAAAACGCGCGGCGCGAGGAAGAGACGGCAGTGTAGCAAGTTATTAACAGCCTCCCCGCCGCGGAGGCAGCTTGGACAACGTACAAGCGGCGGAAGACGTTACTCACCAAGGAAGTTTCTCACCCACTGGCACCGCTCACGAAGACCAAAGAAAGAGCTCGAGAGACTGCACAAGACATCAAGAAAAAACATAATATTTAGCAAATCCTACACTACTCTCGTCACTATGTATGTTAGTTTTCTTAGTTTACCCTATAAATCTCGTTTCGCACTCGTGCAACGTCGTCGCCTTGCGTAAATCATACAGTCCTCCTTGCCCCTCACGATAAAACCCCACAATGCGACGACACAACGACGACGCACGAACCCCTGCAGCCGTCTGATACGACAGCAGAACATCTACCATGACCCCATCGGCGGCCCGAACGTCTCGCCCTTCGCGAGCGAGATGAGCGGCGTCTTGTTCCCGTCGGCGGTGTTGAGCCATACGGTGTTGCCCCACCACGACTGGATGGTGTGGAGCCCGATGTTGCCGTTCTTGGGGTACTGCAGGATGAAGAAAATGAGGACGGCCGAGACGGCGACGCCCGAGTCCAGCGCGGCGGAGAGGACGTCTATGAGGAGGGGGGCGGTGGTCAGCATGTGTAGAGGAAGAAGGAAGGGGAGCACGTACAGTTGTACTTCGTCCACCACGCGAAATGACGCCGCCGGATGACATACTGGAAGATGAAGCCGACGATGGCCCAGGGGACGTAGTTGTTGGAGTTGGCCGGGGGGATGAGACCGGTGCCGGAGAAGATGACGGGGAAGCTGGAGAGTAACGTCAGCATGTGTTTCCACGGAGGGAGAGGGAGGCAAGGGATGAGGAGAGCAACGAAGTGTTAGGCTCGCCACGTGGCGGGAAGGCGAGGGGAGGGAAGGGAGCGAGAGGAACACTACACACTTGAGGTATCGCAGCCAGCTGTTGGGCCACTTAAGGGTGCATAGCCATGCGATGAGCGGGCAGAGGAAGCCGATGAGGAAGAAGAACGTGAGGGCGTAGTAGATCTGTCCGTGGGAGACTGTAGGGCGAAAAGGTGAGTCAGTATATCGTCTCGACGGTTCGGGAGGAGCGGGGGAAGAGGGAGGGCAGGATGCGGAGGGGGATGTCGACGAGCGGGAGGGAAACGGGACGTGGAGGATGGGAGAGTAGAGAACGATACGCACACTGCCGCGCCGGCCCAATAACACCCCAGATAATGCTCGCCGTCCCGAACACACCCGTCGACGGACACCAGAACCCGTCCTTCTGGTCGCGGTCGCACATGCCCTCGATGTTCGTGAACATCCACGCCTGCACGCCGAGCTGCACGGTGCCCGCGACGACGGTCGCGACGACCTGGCTCGTGAACATGTGCCGCGGCGGGATCTTCATGTAATGCCCGAGCTTGAAGTCGCTCGTGAACGTGAGCGCCTGCGCCATGGTGATGTAGCCCCAGGTCTTGAACATCATCATCGCGACGGGGCGCCCGGGGAGCGCGTACCCGATGATGAGCTCGGTGATGACGTTCAGCCCGACTTGCTGATTCGTGATGGCTTGGATCATGCCGACTGTGGGGGCAAAGGCGTTAGCATCGAAAACCAAAGGGGGAGAGGGAAGGGGCGGGGAGCGTCGACGTCAGCCACAGCCAGCGCCCAGCGGTCGACGTCGAGTGGGGCAGCGTGGACGCGTTCAAAGCGAACGAAGGTGGGGTGGGAAGAGGGGAGGAAGAAAAAAGCACGCACTCGGAATAACGTAGACGAACGAGATGACGAGCGCCAGGATGAAGTACTGCACGGGGAACTTGGTGTCCCACACCTCGATCGCGACGACACCGAAGACGAACATGGTGACGAAGATGATGGCGTACCACCACTCGGGGACCTGCGCGGGTTGTCAGCGTGGTGCTCAGAAAGAATGGGGGGAAGGAGAGGGAGGAGAGGCCGACGCCGAGCTGCGGACGCGGCGAAGGCGGGTACGACGACGACGACGACGCCCACCCCCGCAGTGACAGCGCCTCGCACGACGTCCACCACCAGGGGTCGACGCGCCGCCGCAGCGGCGGCTCGTCATCGTCGTCTCCGCATCGTGTCGAGGCCTCGTCTCCAAGACATCGCGTGCTCGACCCGGGGAAGGGGCGAAAACGCAAAGCACAACGACGAAGGCGACAAGAAGCGACAGTGCGAAAGAAAATACCCACCTGCGGGTACACACTCATCAGCCGCGCGTGGACGTCCGGCTGCTCGTGCATCGCGCGGCGCGCCTGCGTCCAGATCTGCTTGCGGAAGAAGAGGAACGCGTGCGTGATGGTCGCGGTGATGGACGCGAAGGAGAGGCCGTAGCTGGGCGGAGGAGGGGGGTTAGCGGGCGAGGGGGGAGAGGAGGAAGGGCGGCTCACGAAATCGAAAACGTCGTCGACAGGAAGATCGGGCTGTACGCCGAGTACTTGACGGGGTCGAACACCTTGTCCTCGGTGAGGATGCGGCTGACGTTGTACGAGCCGCCCGTGTTGTCGAACGAGCCGCCGGACGAGATGGGCATGTACTTCGAGTAGAAGGTGTTGGTGAACTGCGGGCGCGCGCGTCAGCGAGCGGAACGAGCGAAGCGAGTGGGGCGAGTGAGCGCCATCGATATCAAGACGAAGGGACGACGCGCAGCGGTTCAGAGGCTTCGCTCGACGAGCGAACGCGGCAGCCGGTGAGAAGGACACGACAGCAGCGCTCCCACGCGCCCAAGGATAGCACAGCCGTCAGCGTCTGCGTCAGCGCCTGCCGTCATCCCGCCCTGCCGATCCCGCAATATAAACAGCTGGCGCCAATCGCTCGCTCGCGAAGGCATCAGGCATCTTATCCGCATCTCGAAGATCGCACGCAAGACAGGCGGGGCGCTCCGTAGTAGGAAACCATATATGGTTTCTTGCTGCGGAACGCACACAGGCGCCTCGCCTCCACAAAACAAGAGAGAGAAAAACGAAAATGAATTTAAAGGTGGAAGGGGTACGCACATACAACGCGGGCGTGAGGATCCAGAAGAAGAACACAAAGCCCACGGCGATGTTCGCCTCGGCCCACCAGGGCGTCGCGAGCGGGGAGCCGATGTACGTGATCTGAGCCCAGTCTGCGCGGGTGAGTGCGTCAGCACAATGCGAATCAAAATGTTAAACAGCAAGGGGAGGGGAGACGCACCAAACGTAATCATGCCCATCGCCAAGCCGTAGTTGACGCCGAACAGCTGGTTGACGACGATGTTGTCCGGCTTGATCCAGCACACCCAGGAGAAGAACGAGAGGCCGGTGAAGAGGTAGCCTGCGGCGGAGCGTTAGCGAGCGATATATGGGGTATAAAAGGAGAGGGGACACCCACCAGGGACGAGATACCACACCGCGCTGCACGCAAACGCGATGTAGAAGAACTTCTCACGCGAGAACCCGCCGCGGGAGCCGACACCGGCGTACTGCTGCGCGTGGAGCGTGTTGAACAGCGCGCAGGTGACGAGGTTGTACGGCCAGACTGCGTCACGACACGTCAGCGATGAAACTCGCAACCAAAAAGGAAGAGAAGGGAAGGGAAGGAAGAAGGGAAGGCATACGCACTCATACTCGGCGGCTGCACCAAAAACCTCCGCGCAATGCCGCCAATGCTAAACCCGATCAGCTGCGTGGACATGACGATCATCCACTGGTAGCCGAAGTTGTACGTCTGGTCGTAGTAGACGCGCTGCACGGCGACGATGTCGGTGGCGTAGGCGGAGCCGGCGCCGACGCCGGCCTGTGTGAGCGATGAGCATTTTGAACAAACGGGAGGAAAGAAAGAGGATTAATCCCGGGGAAACCCCGGAGTCGCGCTCCAACCCCGACAAAATCCCACCGAGCGCCACAAATCCCGACGTCCAGCTCCAAACTCGAATTAAAGCACCCACCATAATAGTAATTAACACATGCTCCTTGATGCTGAACGGGCCGGGGTTGAGCGCGATGCCGAAGATGGAGATGTTGGGGAGGACCCGGGCCCAGGCGCGTCCGAGGGGGAAGGTGAGCAGTTGGGCGACGATCTAGGCGGGCGTCAGCGGGGTGTTAGAGAGCGAGTTGATGCGGGGATAGGAAATAGCGAGCGAATGGGGAGTAATAAGCAAAGGAATACGAGAAATACAAGGGATAGAACAGCGGGATGAATGGAAGGATGAAAAGGAATGAAATAGGGAAGGGTGCAGGGAAGGGTGCAGGGAAGTGAAAATGGAAGTGGGACGGGAGGCGAGGCGAAGAGGGAGCGAATACGTCGGGGCACGAGGCGGGCGAAGTACAAGGCAAGGTGAAGGAAATAAAGCACAAGGCGAAGGCAAAATACAAAGAAAACCCAAGTGAAGCCAAAAGCCAAGACACTACACTCACGCTCGTCACCGTCACGGCCGGGTACCGGAAGAAGAAGAACTGGTTCAGCCCGGGGATGATAATTGCCCAAATGAGGCCGAGCGTCCACGCGCGCAGGGTCGCGACAGGGATGGTCGGGTCGTCCGTGTTCGCGACGGCGGAGCGCACTTCCGGGTAGGGTG